TGGTGTTCCTGAGACTCTCCTAGATTCACTTATTCCAAGTCCCGATCAGCGTGTAAAGCTCTACTCGTGCCTGCTCTGTTTGGTGTGGCTTTCTTTTTTTGAAGGGTTAAAAGTGCGTGATACATTCCTTTTACCGGAGCAAGCTCCTGGTAAGGGGCTGCTAGCAATCCATTTTTTACCTGTTGGAGTGGAGCCTTTAATGGTCTTTTTCCTAGCTGCTCCTTTAGATGTTGTGGGGATAGTAATTTGTATTGAATCAAGAGCAGTAGGATCACTAGGTCACCTTAAAGCTGAGATGCGGTTCTCTGCTGGGTTATCCTCAGTCTCGGCCTCGTACTGAACCACAATGTCTTGTAACTGTCCTGAGTCGGTATTTATGTGTTCTCCAAGTCTTTGTAGGGCTGTAGCCTTAGAGAGGGATAGCCGTTCCAGAGCTGGTCTTCTAGACCGTGGAGTTGAGTCATCTTCCATTCTTGTTGGGAGCGCAATAGGAGGGATGGGGTCTCTTTGTGGATTTGGATGAGGAGTATGACTTACTCTAGAGATGGCTTGTGAAGTATCATGACAGTTTCCATTTAACACAGGGATGTATCTTAGATCACAGTTCGAGAAACCCATTGCACGGGGTTGAATTCTACTAAGAGTAGCGGAATGAGAGCTATGGACCGGAGCTTGTGGAACCGGTCTATAGAAAGAGACACTCCTTCTCGATACTTTTCTAGTATCCTTGTAGATTCGTCTATCTGAATCTCTGTTATAAGCACCACCCAAAGACCAAGAAATATTTTAAGCATGTTCAAAATCATTACGGTTCCTGGTCAATGATCTGCGAGAATCCCTTTGATCTATAAGCTCTCTTATAAGAGTAGGTAGGGTGAGGGCCAAGTTGTCTTCTCTCATGAGCCCATCTTCTCTCCGCTTCCATACGGTTTAAAACTTTCCTTTGGTTGATTCTAAACAGACTTAGGTCACGCACCCCTGATTTGGTCAAGTGATAATCTCTCTCATCGTGTGATAAGGAAAAGCAGGAGAAGCAGTACTTTCAAGCTTTTCATATTCAAATTCCACAGTTGTAATTTCTTCATTTGGAAGCATGATTTCCATATTCATAATTAGTGGCTCCATGCCATTGATTTGGACTCGAACTCTATCTTGGGCATCATCACGACCTTTGATGAGGCCAAGTTCTTCTCCGATAGTTTTGATGGCTCGATCCGATGAGTAATGTAGAGGTAACCCACAAATA